CTGCACTGCCACCCACCACCACCGCCGCCAGCAGCAGCAGCAGCAGCAGCAGCAGCAGCAGCAGCACTACCACCACTAGCACCAGCACCACCCGCACCACCGGCACCACCAGCACCACCAGCACCACCAGCACCACCAGCACCACCAGCACCACCAGCACCACCAGCACCACCAGCACCACCAGCCCACCAGCACCACCAGCACCACCAGCACCACCAGCACCGCCAGCACCACCAGCACCGCCAGCACCGCCAGCACCGCCAGCACCGCCAGCACCGCCAGCACCGCCAGCACCGCCAGCACCAGCACCAGCACCAGCACCAGTGTTCCGAACCCATATAAGTGACCGTGCATCGGCAGGTCAGGGGAAAAATAGGGGTTAGAATGAAACGTATCGGTATTCGCGCGTAGTCCTTGAATGAATGAAACTAGAATATATTCCAACACCCTACTTGGAGGTTCATGGGTAGTTATAAGGAGGGCTATAAGTAGGGTAACTATACTTAGAACCCATGTTAGGGGACTTGTAACCCCACTTATAACTACCCATGAACCTCCAAGTACTCAAGCGATCCAGTCCCCAGTAGAGCCCCTGTTGTTGGAGGTTGGACTGAGTGGGAGACACCAAACCCAAAACCCCACCTAAGCTCGAAATGCTAAAGGCTGAATAGACTAGGATGCCCATTAGTACCCTTATTCCCTTTTTGTAGTCCTTGGTTCCTTACTAAGATACCCAATTCCAAAAAGGCAGCCCTTTTTATTCCTAGGTTGCTGGACATCCTAGTTAAAGGGTTCTATAAGAGTGACCTATAAGGGATCCATAAGGAAAGGGTTCTATAAGGGCTACTATAATTAAGGGACCTAGTAAACAGAAGGAGACTAAGGACCCCCAACCCTAAGACTTCAAGCCTAGCCAGGTTACGGTTAGGGTTGTAAGGTTTTGGTCTAGGGTTTAGGGCCTAGGGTTTTAGGGTGATAAGGTTTTGGGGTTATAGGCTATAGGGTTTTAGGGTTAGCAGAAGGAGACCAAAGCTAGCAGCTTTGGGGGTGCCTGGGCAAACTCCGTGCGCGGGGGGAAATGGGCGCGGTGCCCAGCTGCTCCTGCTCAGAAACTCCAATATCCCACAATTAAGGAATATACCGAAAATCCTGCTAGAATTCCTATTCTGCAATAAGGTATACTCCGTAATAAAGAGATATGGGAGTCTTTGGACGGACAGTTCGCCTCTTCGGGTTTAAGGGTGTAGGGGGCTGGGCTGCATTTGGTCCTTTGCGAAAGCCATCTAGATCCAAAACATCATCCCCAGGGAACAATGGTTGATGATATAAATCCTGCATTACCTTAAGGACCCTAGACTATGGGAATTATGCTAGATTCTTTATTATGGGTAATGCAGGATTTATATCATCAACCGAAGTAGTCCCTATTTATGGTTCTTGGTACCTCATATGGCCCTAAAGTCCTGTGGTAGGGAGTACTTGGGCCCTCTGGGCATCAACTCAAACTGCGTTCATGAAAGAGCGGCTTCCTGAAGAAGGGGTTCGGATGCATGAACGTGCGGTTCTGACAAATGGGTATAGTGGAGCCTCTGGAAATGGAAGCAGAGATAGATCATGCAAGAGACCGGAGAGGAAGGCCTTCTAGATTTAGACCATGACATGTAGCAGAATTTTAGCATCTCGGATTGTCAAGTTTACGGTATAGAGTCTAGAGTTTTAGGGTTTGGGAGTTCAGAGTTTGGGGTTTCAGGGTGTTCGGTTTAGCATTCGGGCGGAGGTAGGCTGTTGAATGATTCAATCGAAAACCCTCATTGTGAGAACGGCATTATGAATGAGGCAGGTAATGGAGGGAATGACCGACTGGGAGTTCGGACGGTTCGTGGAAACCGGATAATTAGCTTGGGTTCCTTGTCCTTGATTAACTCGGACCTAGAGTAGGCCCTTATTCCCTTTTTGGGGGGTTCAGGTTCCCTTACAAGCCCCTTTAAACCAAAAAGGGCACCCTTTTTCTTCCTAGGCTACTCTTGGGTCTAGTTAATTGGAGTTGGGTTTCGGGTAGGCAGACTATTCGTTCGGGGTCCAGACCCGTTTTGCGAATCTAAGATTCTCGGATCTAGAGTGCAGTTTTGGGCAACGCTCCGGAACGTGAACACAGGTTTGACATGTCGGTAGCTGCAGAACTGTTTGACCAAGGAGAGAGTGATAGAGAGAGAGAGAGAGAGAGACAGAGAGAGAGACAGAGAGAGAGAGAGAGAGAGAGAGAGAGAGAGAGAGAGAGAGAGAGAGAGAGAGAGAGAGAGAGAGAGAGAGAGAGAGAGAGAGAGAGAGAGATGAAACTCACAAAGGTCTCAACCTCTTGTACTATACCACATCCAAAATGCTGCTGCTAAGAGAGCGGTTCCATTGATGGTTCCTTCAAGCATTCTTACGGCGTACAGGAGGTGGTGAAAAGCCGGGAAGCAAACATTTCTTTGAAGAGCGCAGCTTACAGATGCACCAGGATAGGCAATGCCAGCGGGTGTTTGCACAATTATTGGGAATGCCGGTTACAGAAACGGACGTACTTCGTATGCTGTCTTGGATTTAGACATGTCAGGAGGACCACAGGGGGATATGGGAGCAGAGTGGCCCTCATTATGATGATCATGGCTATCTATGAAGGTTGTTATTATAATTAAGGACCTGCTACGGGCTTGGGAAGGCTTATTTGACGAAGTGTAATCCCCTATCCCCCTCCACTGCCCACCCTACCTAAGATTATCTACAGTCAAGCGGCGTTGCAACTCAACTCATACTTTCGTCTAACAGCGTTTAAGAAAACGGACCTGAAGTCGTCACCCAGGGATTTAAAGCTAGTTGAAGCTCTTGCGGCTTAAGGTTGGGCTTTTGGGGTCTAGGGTTAAGGGTTTAGGGGGCAGTGTTCTGATTCCTGTATATTATTGAATCGAGCAGTCAGTGTAGTTGTGATCTCACTGGTTACACTTGGACCGCCTGAAGCTTAAACCCCGACTGCTCTGGAAAAAAGAACCTCGACCATCCCAAGGCCTTCATCCTTACATCCTGGACTCTAAACCCCGAACCTTTGGGGTGACTGTGGTGAATGCTCAGATTCCTCAATGGGTCTGCATCTTCGAATGCTTGGCTCCAAGCTGCTTCACAAGGCTTGGTACTCTGCGGGTTTCGGAGTATCTGGCAAGAAGTTTCTTAGGGTTCCTCAGCATGGCGATCCTGTAAGTATACCCCCAATGCCCGACTGCAATTCTGGGGGCCCCTACATGAACCTTATAGAGCCCATGTAGAAACCCTAATTTCCAAATAGAACCCTGTGAAGAAAGCCTCGTAGGCGCCCTATTGTAATTGCTGTGGCCCCTATGTTTGAGTTGAGGTCAGAGGATTTTAATCTCGGTGTCACCTAAGAAGTTGAGCTGTGGTTTGCTGTGCTACAGCTGCGACGAAAAAATATGCGTGCAGATAGTAGCCCTAATAATCCTAATAATAATCAACATCCCAAGCTAGCCGGCCTAACATGTGGGGTCTGATGGTTCCCCAAAACATTTATTGATTTGTGCTAGGGGAAAGATTCAAAACTCAGGTGTACTTCTTTCGGCCTCCATGTTACCCTTCACGGGTTTTGGGGCAGAAAACCTAAACATAATCATCCGAGCTCGCCATTCCTGCCAACCAGAAGAGCAGGAAGATGCGAGGAACGTTCCGAGACCCGTGGGACGACACGATTTATTTATGCCCAGCATCCTAAACCTAAACCCTAAACCCTAAACCCCAAACCCTCCTAAACCCTAAACCCTAAACCCTAAACCCTAAACCGCAACCCCAAAGCCCGGAGCTCGGAACCCGAAGCCGGTAACCCGGGTGTAATCACTCCATACTGTTGATGGACAAAATCCTGCATTACCTTAAGGACCCTAAACTATGGTAATTATGGTATATTCCTTATAATGGGTAATGCAGGATTTTGTCCATCAGCAGTAAGAAGGCCTGGGTCAAGCGCTAAAACACACAACCCGAAGCTCTGTAATCCTAAACTGTGACTTTCTCCCCGACTGCAGTCTCTACCGGGGACACTAGGTCACTAGGGCTTTACTTTCTGCTCTAGAAGAGGGACCCTGGTACTGTTGTGTCTTGCAAGTTAGGGCCCGTTCTGAGTCTTTGTTGAGGACTCTGTCGTTGTAGTGTGATTGACCAGCTTCGGTCACATGGGAGCACCAGGCACGGTCTAGGGTAGTAGGGTATTACGTAAGGTGCGGTCTAGGGCCTAGGGCCTAGGGTTTAGAGCACCAGCCTATTAAGGACACTGGAGACAAACAGCGGAATCCTTTGTGGAAGGACCCCATACTATAGGGGCCTTTATCGTTAAACATGCTCGTTTGGGGGTTGCCCATGATAGCTATAGTATGATGGGCACCAAAACCCTATTCTACTTCGCAAGGCCCCTATCCCTAAGGGTCCATGTACCCATATAGAGATACATGAGCCCCAAAGTACCTTTATAGGGACTACATTAAGGCCAATGTATATACTATATGAGTACATGGACCCTTAGGGTATAGTAATTTGGAGAACGCAACGCGCAGAAGGTAACAACTGGGGCATGGTCGCCTAACAGGCAGCAGCCCGAAAGCCTAAACCCTAACCTGGACCCTACCTAAACCTCAAAAAGTATTCCAACACCCAAAAAGGGGCCATTATTCTACATAGTTCATGGGGTCCAGCTAGACCCTGTACCCCCCCTAAACCCTAAACCCTAAACCCTAAACCACCAGCCCTTAAGCCTGAACAGCATCGCCGGCTTCTCAGTCTTTCGGCCAGAAGCGAAAACTCCCGTATCACTCTGGCGGCTTACCCTTACCCCATCTTTCTTACATGTGTGGCTCAGGTCAGGGTTCCGGTCATGTACTAAGGCTTTTGGGTGCAGAGTCCTAGGGCCTGTAGGCCGGCGTATTGGGGAAGGTGTTTCTTGAAGCAGGCTACGTGCCGTAGCCATGATCGTCGAGCGGCTGCGTGCCCTCTCCAGACGTGCTGCTGCTGATTTCCCTACCAGTACGCCTTTTTCAGTTGTGTTTCCCCGTGCCAATAGGACCATAGGAAGGTTTTGTACTCTAAGTCCTTAAACTGTGAGCGCTTGACTCCAACTGGAGCCCGACATCGACACCCGAAATCCTCAGCCCAAAGCCCTATACCCGCTACTCAGGAAGCTGCTGGCAATGAAGTTGATGAAGGGTTTGCCTTAATCCCACATCACCTACCTTGGTCAGGTAATTGTATAAGGAGATCAGAATAAGGAAACCAAAAAGGGTAGGTTTTATGTTTAGGATTTATGTGTTACGCACCTGCTGCCTTCGTTGGTTTGTTCTGGAGTCGACTCAAACTCCTTGCCCAGAGGGTCCATACATACTACCATCATGGAAGTAGGTACCAAAACGGCCATCCGTATTGTGGTTCTGGGGGCCTAGTTCCATAATATTAGTGCCCAGAGGCTCCAACATCCCTTAATTAAGGAGTATAATTTAGATTACAATAGGATCCCCAATATGAGTTAAGGAATATTTGAGAAGCATGTTTCTTAACGTTAAAACACATGCCCCCACCCTGTAATAGTGACTATAAGGATTATAGTAGGGCCCGATTATATTCCTATTATACTACTATTACGGGGTGGGGGCCCTTTCTAAAATATTCCTTAATTAAGGGATATTAGAATCCCTTAAACCCTAAACCCTGTAGCTCCCTTTCAGGATCCCTTTAAGGAGCCCTAGGTATTTCTTAATTGAGGATTATTGGAGTCTCTGGGTGTCTAAGGTCCCTAGCTCGTGTTTCGGCTCTGCGGAGCTCACCTTAAGCCCTGCCTGGACCCTAAGGAACCTACCTTTTTAGGGCCCCCGAACATGATTTCTTTATATAAGTCCTTAAAAAGGTAGGTTATTTGGGGTTAAAGTAAACCTTCAATGCCGAAAGCGCAGAGAGCTCTAAACCCCGAAGGCCCTAAATGCCAATCGCAGAAGCCGTAAAACCCTAAATACCTGCAAGCCTCTGAACACCCTAAACCCTCAAACCCTAAACCGTACACCGTAAACCCTTTAACCCACCCTAAACCTCCAATAATAGTCATTTAGGGTTTTGGGTTTGGGGATTTGGGGGTTAATTACATACCAGTCTAAATAATCACAGGTATTTCTCTTTAGGGATCCGTATTTACATTGTTTTTTAATAGTGCCATACATCCCAACACCCTGTTTTAAGTATTACCCTGGGCATCAAAATAGCACAAAGATGCCTAGTATTAAGGCCCCCTGCACTAGGCTGTTGTTGCATTCAGCACGACCTCGTCACAGCTCGCTCCGAAGTTTTCAGGTCTGTTGCTCGGGCGGGTTTAGGGTTTTGGGTTTAGGGTCTTTGGGTTGGTGTTTTGGTTTGTAAGTCTGTGTGTGTGTGTGTGTGGGTGTGGGTGTGGGTGTGTCTGTTTAGGCTTATCATGGTTCGTAGATGTTTTGCGGTTTTGTGCAATTGCGATTTAGAGTCTAGAGATCGCGTGTAGGAATGTCAGATTATGCGACAATTCAGGGCTGGAGCTGTGTCGGACGTTGATCTGGCGTGTCTTGGCAATTGTAGTGCTTCCAGGGCCCACCTCAAACTCCCTGGTTCTTAGTATGGACTGGGGGAATGGATAACTACATCATACGTATACAGCAATTAATGCTACTATTCACGACTGCTGTGCTTGTGTAAGATAGTTATACAAGAATTATACTACGGTTATGATATAAAATAAGGACCCTAACTTATGGGAAGAATGGTACATTCCTTATTGTGGGCAATGCAGGCTTTACATCATCCCTAAACCCTAAACCTCCCTTTAGGTCCCTTAAAGGAACCCCTTAGAAAGGTACCCTTATAGACCCCTTTAAAGGAGCCCTTGGATTTATGTCATCAACCGTATGGCTGATACGACAACGCAGTGAAGTCCGAGAGCTCTGGCCTCGAAACTGGGAATCCGAGCACCCGACTCCCAGCGGGTAGGGTTCTCTGGGCTTCTTATGTAGCGTTGCTTTAACTTAGAGACTTAGGGTTTAGGGTTTAAGGTTTAGGGGTTTAGGGTTTAGGGATGTTTTTTAAAGCTACTAAGGGGTCTGCAAGGACTTCTTTGACGATTAGTCTGTAGGTTTTGCAAGGTTGTTGTAGAGGTGGTTCTTATTCGGACAAGGAAAATTCCACAATCCCGGTCTCAAAATCTTGTCCAAGGAGCCCCGACCCATTCGTTTGATGGATTTGATGGGCTTATATAGACTTGGATTATTTTCGCGTGGGAAGCGTTCCCCAGTTCTTCAATGAAACCCTGAACCCCTCAGCCCTCCACCCTGATCTCTAAACCCTAAACCCTCTATAAACCCCTCAGCCCTAACCCCTGCACTCTGAATGCAACAGCTTGGTGGCTCCTAAGCTTTGAAATAAATCCCGACTCCAAAAGCTTCGACAGACGTCCCCAAATAGGACGATACCTAAAATCATGTTGGGGATCCTGCTATAATTTAAGGTATATTCCTTAATTTCGGGATCTTGGAGTCCCCTAAACCGTAAACCCGATAGACCCCTTAAGCCAAGCCCTATAGATTTCTTATGGATGCCTTAAAGAAACCCTAGGTCCTAGGCCTAGGTAAACCTTCATGAAGGGATATTGGAGTCTCGGTGCCTCACGCCAGAATCCACGGATCTTCCCAACCCAAAGCACTAAACAACCCCAGCAAACCCCAAGACCTGGAGCTATTAGCCCAACCGCCCCCCCCCCCCCCCACACCCGAAAGCCCGCAACGAATGCACTGCACCCCGAAGCCCTTTGTCACCGCACAGAAGCCAAGAAACTCCGACAGGGCGCTTTCAACACCTATACTTACCTTTGGTTAGTAGGGAATGGAAGAATGGTAGTAATAGTAGTTATAATGGTACCCCATTCCTCCATTCCCTACTAACCAGAGCTAAGTGTAGCAGCCACGAGCCCCAAACCCCCTATCGACCAGACCCTAAGCAAACAAAAAAACCTAGGGTTTAGGCTTTAAGGGTTTAGGGTTTAGGGCTTAAAGACCGGAGAGGAGCGCCTTTGGCGACAGCGGGCCTAATCTTCGGAGCTGCCAATGCTGTAGGCAGGGTCTGGTTTATATAGGGGAGTTTCCGAAAATTAGGGGCCTTATTTTGGGGTCCTTATAATCAATAAATAAGGACCCTACTATTTAATGTACTATATTAGGATCCCCTATTTTGGGAAACTCCCATATAGAGTCTACTATAGAGGCCTTTTCTAGATTAGAATAGAGCTCCTTTAAAGGATTCCTATGAAGGGTCCTTATAAGGGCTACCAAAACCGGCTACTATAATAATTTAGTATTGGGGTCCGAATAGTTAGAATAGGGCTCCTTATTCTAGTTATATTGATAATAGTATGATATATATATATATATATATATATATATATCTCCAAGCCCTATTGACATTATTAAGGCCCCTACATTATGCGCTGTTTAGGGTTCGGGGGACAGCGCTTCCCCAGAGACTCCGATATCCTATTTTTAAGGTATACTCCTTGATTAAGGGATATTGGAGTCTCTGGGTTCGTAGGCGTCTGAATGACGAGATTAGGGCTAGTCTGGCGGGTCTGTGCCAGAATTACAAGACTACGGAATGGGATTTACTGTTCAGGCTTCTGTATTTCGGGGTTGGCGGTTCAGAGTGTCGTTTTCGGTTGAGGGTTTAGAGTTGAGGGGAGAGCAAATGGTCAATGCTCGACCACTGTTTTCTTGTTAATGTACTTGGAGGATCATGGGAAGGTGATAAGAACCTTAATGGGGCAATGAGTAATGATAAGTGTAGTCACCGTACTTATAGTTAGCAGATACCATTTCCATTTTCTAACCATGCCCACCCCCCCAAGGCCACCCAAAGACCCAAAACCATAACAACCTACACCTCAACCCTAACCCAACCCAACATCCATAGGTAGAACCCTAGGAATAACTCACCTGAAGACCCAAACCATAAGAACCTATACCCCAATGCCCACATAATGGAACCACTAAAAGACGCCACGCCAGAGGCGCGCGTGCTACGCGACCCATACACCACCACATAGAAAAACCTCAACCTCAACCTCATACATCAATACCCCGATAGAAAACCCAATAGTATCAACCCGAAATCCCTAACCCTAGAAAATGGATATGCTGAAGGCTACGCCTTCAGGGAGAGCTCGCGCTTTCCATCTTCGTAAATGAAAAATCTATAACAGACATAAGGTTTAAGGTCGAACCGACCTGAAGGAAAGTTGTAGCATAGCATGAGCTACTTGTCTAAATGTCGTTTTCACTTTAAGGCGCACCCGCGCTGGAGTATTTCTTCCTGCATCCATCACTCAATGGCCATGAAAGCTGGTTTGGCATTTGCCTTCTTCTGTTGGGCACAAATGGTGCCATTCCAGTCTTTTCTTGCGGTCCGTCCTGGCTTCTGTGGTGTTCCCGCACAGGGTCAGTCACGTTTCGCGGGGCCAAACAAAATGAACAGACGGACTCGGACCTGTGCATTCTCACCACGTTCCGGAGATGTGCGAGTTTCCAACAGTTGTGTAGTGAGGAAGAATGTCTTCAGCCGACATGTGCAGCGCGGTCGGCCAGCGGATTTGGGACCAGTTTTGGCAATCTCAGCGGGCCATGGGCATACTTGTGCAGTGCGGTCAGATGGTCAGCTCGTCTGCTTTGGACGCCATATTGATGGACAGTGTGGCGTCCCAGCAGATTTGGGACCAGTTTTGGCGATCTCAGCGGGCAGGTACCATACTTGTGCAGTGCGGTTGGATGGTCAGCTCGTCTGCTTTGGAGCCAATGATGCTGGTCAGTGTGACGTCCCAGCAGATTTGGGACCAGTTTTGGCGATCTCAGCGGGCCATTACCATACTTGTGCAGTGCGGTCAGATGGTCAGCTTGTCTGCTTTGGTTATGGTGGACGGTGTGACGTCCCAGCAGATTTGGGGCCAGTTTTGGCAGTCTCAACGTGCCGCTACCATACTTGTGCAATCCGAGCAGATGGTCAGCTCGTCTGCTTTGAAAACGAAGGTGGTGTACGGTTTGACGTCCCAGCAGATTTGGGACCAGCTGCGGCGATCTCAGCGGGCCAAAAACATACTTGTGCAGTCCGGTTAGATGGTCAGCTTGTCTGCTTTAGCTACGTGGGACAGGTTGCCTTCGCAGCAGATTTTGGACCAGCTTTGGCAGTCTCAGATGGCTATGATCATACTTGTAAAGTGCGGCCAGATGGTCAGCTCGTTTGCTTTTGGCACGATGGTAATGCACGGTTTGACGTCCCAGAAGATTTGGGACCAGTTTTGGCAGTCTCAGCGAGCGAGTACCATACTTGTGCAGTGCGGTTGGATGGTCAGCTCGTCTGCTTTGGAGCCAATGATGCTGGTCAGTGTGACGTCCCAGCAGACTTGGCACCAGTGTAGTGGGTCATCGTCATACCTGTGGTGTGCAGAGGGGACAGATGGTCAGCTCGTCTGCTTTGGAGACAACTTGTATGGGAAGAGTCATGTGCCCAGCCGGTTATCGTGAAGAAGATATAGAGCGCCCCTCAAACCTGCAATAGCTCAACACGCAAATACTGCCTAGTATTGCCCTCAACTCTGTAATAAGTTTGACCTAACTTATTTTCAATATTTTCTATGGTATAAACATTCTGCGACCAGTTGCTTACTCTTTCTTTTTCATTTGGTTTTCGCTTCCTAAATATCTTAACTTCGTCTCCTACATCTAGTTCGGGATAAATGCGGTTCTTCTTGCCCTTCATCGTTAAATTTGTTTTCACTTTGAACTGATTACTGGGTTTTCGGACTTCTTTCGGCGTAAATCCTGTTGCCGAGTGTTTCATTTGATTGTTATAGGTTAATAATATTTCTAATATGTAGTCTGGCCATTGGATGTTCTGTTTTCCTTTTTTCTCATCTGCTTCAACTCTCCTATACAACATATCTTCAAAAGTTCTGATGGCTCTTTCGCTAAAATTTGGGTGTGCCCGCGTTCTGTGGTGTTCTATGTTCTCGTCCTTCAAATACTTTTGTATGGCTTCCTTGTTCATTGCTCCCTCGTCGTCTGTATAAATTATCTCGGGTTTCCTTCCCATCTTGTTTAAACACTCCATCATTCCACTAGCTAAATCCTCTTCCTTTTTTCCTTTTATAGGCACTACACACATAAACTTATCAAATACATCAATCATTAGCATACCTACCCTAAACTTTTGTTCATCCATATCGTTCATAAAAAACAAATCCATCTGATACTCGTAGGCGGAATGGGGAGCGATAAAACTGTTTTGACCTACCGGCCTTCTTTTTTGCTCAACATTCTTTCTAAAAAACTCATTAATAGCGCCCATTGTTATGGTTTTGTCCTTCTCCCGTGCTTCAGCTAGTGTTCTGGATTTACTGCCAAACCCCGCTCTATCAAACTGTACATTATTGATAATTTTCTGCTTCTCGCTCATATAAATAAATAACAAAAAATGATTTAATATAATTAAATCATCATTTTGTAAACAGCATTGGGCATACTCATTTTGTATTCGTTCATGTCTTATTTCGGAGCTCTGCGTTTCTTTCCGCTAGGTTTCTTATCGGTAACGATTTCGTTAATTTGCGTTGGTGTCAAATCTTCTTCGCTTATATTCATTTCTTCTATGTATTCCTTAAGTTTCTTCTTTCGGTTATGCCTTAAACTTGCTTCGCGCTTCTTCTTCATAAATTGCTCGTCTTCTTTCCTCTTGTTATAATAAAGCCGTTGATACAAAGCCAGTTGTTGCTTAATCTCATCCATTGTCATATCCTCGGGACTTTTGAAATGTGTCATATTACTATACTAATTATATATTTATACTATTTCTTTAAATAAGTTTCTAAATATATTACGAAATCTTTAGAAAAAGTATTTAAAAAGAAATTTAATTTATATTGTAATTATATTGTATATGAGCAAAAATACTAAGCGTAACACGAGAGCACTACAAACAACCTACGACAATTACAAAACTCGCCTCACACAAGGCACCAGAGAACAAATACAAAATCAATTAATTTTTATGAAGACCGCAAAACAGCTCAGTTCACCACCGCAGATAATTTAATCCGACAGTTTATAACCGCAAAAACCGACAAGCAAAAAGCGAAAGCAAACACGGCATACGACAAAATTCACAACAAACACCACGACAAAGAACCACTCGGGCAACGAATGCGGGAAGCAAAGAAGGAAAACAAAAGACGAAATACTACTAACACCTACTGCGTAGATGTAATGTTTTACAAAATATAATTAGAGAAAGACAGTGCCATAATAACGGCCTTCAAAGATGGCAAAGGCCGGCCGTTAATTTATTTTTGGAAAGAACCTAAAAGCGCAATGTAACATCCACCAGATACATAGAGGACTTGGTGGGGAAACGGATTTTTAGATACGAGAAAGAAACGAAAAACATCTTAAAAAAAAAATGGATGCCTTCAACACAGACCCAGTTTTAGAAGACGATTTGTTTCACACAGAGCAGTATATGGAATGTATCCAAATTCAGAGCCTTGAACGGGTAGATGGCGATTCAGATTTTAAGCCGGAACAAGAGAAACTAACGAATACCGCTAATTTAAGTATGTATAACATCTACATCCAAACGCCTTTAGACCCCGAGTTTGAAACCTTTAAGGAAGCGAGAAATGTAAAGCATTACAAAGAAAACGAGTGTTGGTTTAACACCATAACCGACTGGTATAAGGATACACTAATGGGCGAGAAGAGAAGGGAAAAGAACAGATTAACAAAGGACAGTATGTTAAAACTGATGAATAAAACCGAAGATGAGTTTAAAACGAATGGGGCATCAATACAAGATATGGTGCCAGTGTTTGAACACTACGGCATTCAAGTAAGGATATTTAACTCCTTCATAAAGCCGATTTTCAAATACTCGCCTACCAAATACAACCATCATATACCAACATTATATGCCCTAGTCAAAAATGATCATATCTACACAGCAAACGACAACCTACAGATGTTACGGCAGATGGTGGCAATCCGTGAAAATCAAGATGTATCGGTTAAGGCATCGC